CCCTCCAGGAAAGAGCTGGGGGAGGGCGCAGCCGTTTCCAAGACGACCCCTGCAGGACTGACTTCCTTCCGGTTGGTCGCGCTTCTGGCCATGATGTTACACCCAGGGTTTTTATATAAGTAGATGCACAGTTCCCAGGGCAGTAAAGAAATTTACAGGTTTTTCACACTGCATTTGGAGGTTCAATACTGTAATAATTTTGAAATACTATATACACTGCACAGAGAACTCAGGGATTTGAATAAAATTGTGGAGGCTAAAGAAACAAACACACTTTTAGTATGTTTCTTGCCTACTCTTTGGGGTAAATGTGAGAATCGGGTAACGTGCATGTGCATGCCTCTGCAACCTACACAAGTGAGTGTCCCTGCAACAGAAGCCACCTCTGGGCCTGCTAGGTGCTAAGAGAATCCCACTTCTCAGACGTAAAGTAACTGTACCTATAAGAGCACCCACTGGGCAGCGGGAACACCACCACCACTCAGTGGGCAATAGTGCAGCACTCATGGCAGGTGGGTGTCCAGGGCAGTGATGAGAGCGCTCACCTGAGGACCATGGGGCCACTCTAACATGTCAGAAAGGCACTTTTAACCTCCTGATGGTGCCCCCGTAGTAAAGCCAGCAGAAGCAGGTTTGGAGGCTCTAATTGCAGCCCATCCAGCTTGGCAGAGATCTGTCAGTACAGACAGCATGGCTGGCTGAGATCACAATAGGTGCCACAGTTCCCAGCTGAGGTCGGGCTGCACAGTGGCCACGTCCTATGGCCAGTCACCTCCCACCAGGTAAGACGGATGGACTGTGACCCAAGCAGAACCTCTCCCAGGAGGGACGTGAGGCTGACAGACTCCGTGCTCACGTGGCAAGTCTCCCGCTGAGACCCTGCATGGCTACCAGTGAGTGGAGGGACTCCCAGGGATGATGCAGGAACGTAGGCTTTCCCTCCCGCTTGGCTCCCAGGCCCAGGACTGACATCCAACCCCAAGGAGGCGTGGCCACAGCTTGAAAGAACTCAGAAAGGGCTAGTTTTGAAACATTCATTCGCTTTTTAAGTTGTCTTTATTTTTCTGGGAAAAGAAAAACCAAATTTAAACATTAATTTGTGGGATATTAGAAGGCTGCCACTACTCTGAAACACTTATACTGAAAGGCAGCTTTGTGATGAACAAAAGGTGAACGGAAGGGTGAGTGATGTAGTCTGAAGTCCTACGACCCTCTGCATCAGCGCATTTGAGCCCAGAGGCATGTCTGGCCATCAGCAAGCTGACACAGCACATGGCATCATACTTACTTCAGTCCCGGGATATCCAGAAGGTTAGTCAGTCCTGTCCAGTTGATTTCTAAAAGCTGTTTAAAAGCAGGGCAAAAAAATGTTATCCAAGTTATTTCCAATTATCAAATCAAACCAAATCACAGAGATTTCTTTCTTTTTAAAAAATATATTTTTATTGATTTCAGCGAAGGGAGAGGGAGAGAGAGATTGAAACATCAATGATGAGAATCATAATCGGCTGCCTCCTGCACGCCCCCACTGGGGATCGAGCCCACAACTCAGGCATGTGCCCTTGACTGGAATCGAACCCAGGACCTTCAGTCCCCAGGCCAACGTTCTATCCACTGAGCCAAACCAGCGAGGGCAGAGATTTGTTTCTTTACACTGTTCTGCACCTTGCTTTTCACTTTGTAAACCATCAAGGCCATTGTGCCCTGTGGGTACATGGAGAGCTGCCTGTTGTTTTACTTTTTGATGTCATAGTTTTCTCCAGTAAAATCTTATAATAATTTATACATCTACCCTCCTATGGATGGGCACTTAGGATATTCAGTGAATATTTTTTTACATCATGTTCTGATTTGTGCATGCAAACTGGCATTTAAAAAGTAGACATCCAGCCCTAACCGGTTTGGCTCAGTGGATAGAGTGTCGGATTGCGGACTCAAGGGTCCCAGGTTCGATTCCCGTCAAGGGCATGTACCCTGGTTGCGGGCACATACCCAGTAGGGAGTGTGCACGAGGCAGCTGATCGATGTTTCTCTCATTGGATGTTTCTACTCTCTATCCCTCTCCCTTCCTTTCTGTAAAAAATCAATAAAATATATTTTTTTAAAAAGTAGATGTCCTGGTCAAAGATACATATTCACTTTGTTATTTGATAGTGCCACCTAATTACCATAAAGAAAGGCTATCCTACTTATATTCCCACCAGAAGTGTATGAAAATGTTTCTTCTTCATAACCTCAACAAAAAGAGATATTAAGAATCAATCCAGCCCTAACCAGTTTGGCTCAGTGGATAGAGTGTCAGCCTGTGGACTGAAGGGTCCCAGGTTCAATTCTGGTCAAGGGCATGTACCTTGGTTGCGGGTAGGGGGTGTGCAGGAGGCAGCTGATCGATGTTTCTCTCTCATCGATGTTTCTAACTCTCTATCCCTCTCCCTTCCTCTCTGTAAAAAAATCAATAAAATATATTTTTTTAAAAAGAATCAATCCATTTGGCCATTAAAAAATGGTACTTTATCACTGTTTCAAATTGCATTTTCCTGATATTAGTGGAGCATGTTCCATTCATTCAACATTTGGGGGGTTTTTGCTCATTTTTCTAGTGGATATTTATCTTACAATAATTCCTACACAGTTGGCTATGATTCCATTAGGTGGACGGGGATGGGTAAAAACTATTGATTAGAAACACAGCTTTTCCTATCAAAATGGATACTGCACTTACTTGTGTTTTATATTTGTGGGGGAAAGCTGAGTGAAATTGCATGATCTCATTACCCATATAGCTGGAGTATCGCATTCTGGCTCCAATCCCTTTGGGAAGTGGTTTTAAATAAGCATAACTAGAGGAGTCCAGGTTCTCTTGAAAAGACCAAACTAAAAAGCAACTAGTTTTAAAAGTCCTGAAAGACTGAGATTTTTCAGCAGAAGAGAAACAAGATGTAAACTTGCAAGGCTAATAGCAGTAAAGATCATGCTCCCCTCGTCCCCACCCGGAGGCCCAGAAGCAAAACAACGCAAGAGTAAGCACCCTGCCCCCACCCTCATCATCACCACAGACCTTTCCCACTAAGAGGACCAGGAATTTGAGGAACAGCCATTCCAGGCCCAGGGCACCACGTAGAACCAGGAAGCTAAGGAAACCCTCCTTGGCTAACAGCTAACAGCTAACGAGAGGCCCTGTCAAGGGCAGGTCACCTGGCAGGACAGTACCGAGAGATTAACTCCTCAGGCCACACAGGGCTGAACCCCATGAACCTTGTCAAAATGATGAGATGCGCCTGTGTAAATGCTACCCGAGTTCAGAAAAACAAAGCGCCAGAGAGGCAGTGCAGGAGAGGAACAGGACTCAGCGGGTTTGAGAAGAGAGATTTGCGTGCGGACAGAAGGCCCTGAAGAGGGAGCTGACATGCCCCTGAGCAAGGGGGAGCTGGGGACAGGAGGGCCCAGAGGATAAAGGAGGGAGCAGTGAGTGAGGACGAGTGAGTGTGTAAGGACAAGTGTGAGGGAGCGAGAATGAGTGTGAGTGCGTGTGGGATCCAGTGTGAGAGGTCTGAGAGCTGAGGCTGGAGAGTCCACACAGGGACACAGGAGGAACCCACAAGGAGGGACAAGCAACTAAAATTAGTGCCTCGCCCCCCTGTGCCTGGATGACTCAGAGCTGTTTCGGGAAACTGAAGAGCCAGGGAGTCGTGTTTCCAAGGGAGGAAACCGTCAAGGGCTGCGGCGGCCCTTCCTCGAGACACAGAACAAGCAGTGAGCGGCCACGCTTCACCTGCAACAGGACGACCGTGTTCGAGCTTCATGAACAGACACGCCGCCCCTCTGCTCTCCCATCTCCTGACCCTCTGGACGCAGTTCGACAACAGCAACTGTTTATTTCAGCACTTACTGTCACCAGGCGTCCGACGTGAATTATTTCTGCGGCACAGACTATGAATCACCTGGGAAGTCCCTTAAAAATACAGACTGTGGCTCCCGCCCTGCTCCAGTGTTTCTGAATTAGTGGGTTTTGGCTAGTGGTAAAGGTCAAGAATATTTTCCTTATGTTTTAAAGCTCCCAGGACTTGCAGCTTCCACCTGGGATACAGAAAACCAGAAAGAGCATCACTCTTCAATGTACAGGAGCTGAGGTGGCAGGTGCCAGGCAGCCTGAAACCCTTCCTCACAGGCAGCTTGAGGGGAAGACCGGGCCCCACAGCCCCACCGGCACGTGGGCTATTCCAGTTAGACCTTAACTGCTAAAGGCAAAGTGTGGGTAAGATAGTGTAACCCTCTGAGATCCAGACACAGGGCATGTGCCAGCACTCGGAGCGACAGAGTGTGCTGGCTGCAGAGCCGGGGGCCCGGGCGACACTCGCTGCAGGGGTAAGGCGGGGCGGGAGCAGCCGCTGCTGGAAAGACAGCACCCACTTTTCACTGTAAGAAGCAGAAGCCACAGGGGAGGGACACACAGGTAAGGCCCCCTGCAGCTGGGGGACAGGGAAAGAGAAGACATATGTGTGCCTTGGGGAGGCTAGGACACCAGCGCAGGCCCTGCCCGCCAGAGGTCCCGTGTTGCTGGACCAACATGTGCAAACCCACCTGCACATGCCCCACCACAGACACGGCATGAGGAGGGCAGAGTCGCTGAGAGACACCAGCCTGAGAGCCAACACAGGCAGGACAATGCGGAGCTCCCATCCCCCCCACTGGATGGGGCCAGACTGTTCACATCGTGAGAGCTGTCAGCACCACAGACCCAGAAGCTCAGACACCTGGCAGACCCACACTGTCCACATCATAAGAGCTGTCAGCACCACAGACCCAGAAGCTCAGACACCTGGCAGACCCACACTGCCAATGCTCCCAGGACCTAGTGTGAGGGGTGGGTAGGACCCTCTTGGCCTGGGGATTCCCGTGGGCCTGTCTGCCTGGCCTGCCCTCCACCTCACTGCTGCCTCCTCCCCAGGGTTGTAGGGTTGGCTTCCAACTGCAACCTTCCCACTCCCATCGGTCTAGGGCCCGTGTCTGACCTGCTCAGCAGAGAAGGACGGAGGGAAAGAGGTGGGAAGACTCACTGCCTCTTGGGAGCGCTGGCAGCCATGACTGTGGCATGTGGACTGGAGACCAGAGGCCGCTGGCCTCAGCGGGAGAGAACAGAGCGAAGGTGGAATATGGGTGGGGAGATGTCATACGGCTCCCTCACCTGCAGCCCCTGCAGAGGCTTCCTGAGACCCAATACAGGCTACCTTGTGAAATAAAGCCCCTCTTTTGCTTAAGGCACCTCAACTGCTGGAGTCCCAGCTAATGCGACTCAACTTCTTCTCCCGCTCACTCTGAAAGAATGATGTCACTTTCATCTTGCAGACGAAGAAAGGAACCTCTGGTTCAAACATGGGAGGCCCACCCTCTGCTGGCTGGGAGCCCCCTGAGGGTCAACACACTCAGAGCACACGAACCGTCTCCTGGACACGTTCTGGACTCACTCTAGTCTGATCAGTCCTCCTGAGACAGGGGCCACAGACCTGAGGATTCTAACACCCTACGAGCATGCCGGGGCCATGCCAACAACGGTCCTGATGGCAGGAGGGAGTGGCCACCAGGTCCACGGATCCGCGCAGGGGTAGACACTGGCTTGTTCTGGCTCCTACCAGAACCTTCACCCAAGCGTGTGTGCTTACCAGTACTTGATCTCTGATGTCAGGACCCCACCAGAATGCTAAACCTACATGTAGGAATGTGTGTAATTTCTTAAAAATCCAAGAACTTGTATGTGCCAGGCACTGTATTACATGTTTTACATCCATTGACATTCATTTAATCTTCACATGTAACCTTGTGACACAGGTATTACTGTAATCCCCTTGTTACAAATGGGGAAACTGAGGCTTAGAGGAATGAAGTCAGTTGTTCAAAGCACAAAGTGGGAAAAGAAAGAACCAGGAGAGGAAAACCAGGTTGAATGAAGGCCGCGCTGGCTGCCCCATCAGACAGCTGTGCTCCACAGCTCAGCACCTCATGGTTTTGTTTAGTTTTCTGGAACAAGCAACACATTATCCAAACTAGTCCAAAGAAACCAACAAGCAGGAAGATGTGCAAAGGCGTCGTAAGGTTCTCTGACACTGCGAGTCTAAATCATCTCGATAATCAGAAACCCAAATCTCTCCGGCTGGACTGCCCCTGGTGAGAAGAATTACTTGGCAGCAGGCAGTGAATTCTGTTCCCATATTTTCCAGCTGAAAGTAACTGAAAATACACTCCCTCTCTCCAAAGCATGTGTGGTGACTTTACTCACCATATAAGGAAACTAGAGGCCCTGTGCACGAAATTCATGCAGGGGGTGTGTGTCCCTCAGCACGGCCTGCACCCTCTCGCAATCCGGGACCCCTTCGGGATTGGGCCTAAACCAGCAGTTAGACATCCCTCTCCCAATCTGGGACCGCTGGCTGCCTGATTGCCCCTAACCACTTGCCTGCCTGCCTGATCACCCCTAACCACTCTGCCTGCCTGCCTGATCACCCCTAACCACTTGTCTGCCTGCCTGATCACCCCTAACCACTCGCCTGCCTGCCTGATCGCCCCTAACTGCTCACCTGCCTGCCTGATTGCCCCTAACCATTTCTGCCTCAGCCCCCACTATGGTGGCTTCATCCAGAAGGACATCCAGAAGGTCGTTCGGCTGTCTGGTCTAATTAGCATATTATGCTTTTATTATTATAAATGAGTAACTTGACTTTTCACAGCCTCTTCCTTCTCTCAGAATTAGAATTTCGCTTGGAAGTTAATACTATGATGTTATTTTTAAGGTAAACACACCTAGAATATCCACACTAAGGAAGAGTATTACTAAGTTTTGAGGGAGATTTAAAGATTTGGATTCTGAAATTTAAAAAAAAAAGGGAGCCCTTCATTAAATTGTTAAAAATTCCTTGTAAATTAAAAATACTCAGCAATTTGCTAAAGATTAGGTGTTTTATTTTATACTTATTAATGAAAGTTTCTTAAATACACTGGCTTTTATACAATTTGTATGTGAAAAAAAACATGGATATAAAATCTTTTATGGATTTCATTTCTCAAAATTTTAATAAGTTAAAATTTAACACAAAAGTTCCTTAGTAGCTTTTGAATTTCACCATGTTCTGTGTATATTCCCCCTAATCTGAGGAGACTACGTTCCAAGACCCCCAGTGGATGCCTAAAAGTATGGCTACCACTGACCCCTGTATATACACTATGTTTTCTCGGCCAGGTGGCTCAGCTGGTTGGTGCACTGTACCGTGCACCGAAAGGTTGCCAGTTTTGAACCCTGTATATACTATGTTTTTTTCCTGTATGTAAATACAGGTTGCAGGTTCTATTTCTGGTAAGGGCACATACCTGGACTGTGGGCTCAATTCCCAGTCGAGGAGGCAACAAATCAATGTTTCTCTCTCACATCAATTTTTTTTTCTCTCTCTCCCTTCCTCTAAGAATGCCTTCAGGTGATGATTAAAAAAATACATACCTATGATACAGTTTAATTTATAAATTAGGCACAGTAAGAGGTTAACAACAATAATTACTTGAATACAGGCACTATGACAGCTGATCTGATCACTGAGACGGTTACCAGGTGACTAACGGGTGGGGAGCTATGCAGCCTGGAGACCTGGACAAAAGATGACTCATGTCCCAGGTGGGACGAAGCAGGCCAGCATGAGATTTTATCACGCTGCTCAGAATGGCATGCAATTTAAAACTTATGACTTGTTTATTTTTGGAATTTTCCATTTAATTATTTTCAGACCAAGGTTGACCACAGGTAATTGAAACCACAGAGAGTAAATCTGTGGATAAGGGGGGACTGTAGTCATTACAATACATTCAAAATAAGCCCATTATTTAAGCAATAGAAGGCAAGTGAGAATAATAATGTTAGTGGAAATAGAAAGTGAAGATACTTAATTCTTCTTGTGTTTTTATACAAAAAAAGTACCACTTATAATTTGTCTAGATAAACCCAACAACAATTTGTATTAAGTTATTTGCATCAAATTATACAATAAAGATTCCCATTTTAAACAATACATGATAGCAATGGTGCCTGCGAAAGAGCTCATCTAAGGTAACAGAGCGGCATTTGTGAAGAGCTATTTGAGAAACAGATCAATTCATCCATCAGACGCTTACTGAGCTGTGTGGAGACAGACATGGCTGTGTCTTCCAACAGTTCACAAGCAGTGCACTACCTGCACAGGACTGTGTGGGCGTGAGGAGGACACTGACCACCTCTGTACTGGAAAGGGACAGCCCAGGGCAGAGGGCAGCGTTCTGGAGAAGGACAGGTGAGGGAGGTGGTGAGGGGTGAAGGGGTTGTACTCTCCCCCGATTACAGTGCTCCTGTGGTTGGAACTTGGGTCCTTATGGGGCAGTGCCAGGAAAGGAGGACAGGGACCCCACCTAGACCACAATAATTGTCTGCCCAGAGACTACCCTCTGTGGTCAGTTTGCACCTTGGGAAGAAGCCCTAGTGGTGAGCAAAGCCTACTGAGGACAGAGCTAAGTCGAATGCCTTTTGCAGGCTGTGGACCCATGTGGAGGAGCCATGTAGGTGAGGAGCCACCAGGAGAGGGAGGACGCTCACTGAAGGGGAGGAGCCTCCATTAGGGGAGGAGCTTCTGTGAGGGGAAGAAGCCTCAGTGAAGTGAAGGGAGGAGCCTCAGTGAAGGGAGGAGCCCAGCAAGGAGGAAGAGCCTCAGTGAAAGGAGGAGCCTCAGTGAAGGGGAGGAGCCTCCAGGAGGGGAGGGGCCTCCATGATGGGGAGGAGCCTCAGTGAAAGGAGGAGCCTCAGTGAAGGGGAGGAGCCTCTGTGAGGGGAGGAGCCCCATGAGGAGGAGGAGGAGCTGAGGTGAGGAGGAGCCTAGATAGGAATGATATTTTTGTTGTCTTGTTTTTGTGGCTAATAATAGGTATTAACTACTTATAACAAAAAAATGGATTAAGATACAAATCTAACCATGTGAAGTGATAACATTTATTATGGTTTATCCAAGTGTTAGAATATAATTCAGTAAAAAGAATCTTTATGCCTGAAGCTGGTTTGGCTCAGTGGATAGAGCATTGGCCTGCAGACTGAAGGGTCCCGGGTTCAATTCTGGTCAAGGGCACATGTGCAGGAGGGCACATGTGCAGGAGGCAGCCAATCAATGCTTCTCTCTCATCATTGATGTTTCCAACCCTCTTTCCCTCTCCCTTCCTCTCTAAATCAATAAAAATATATTAAAAATAAAACAAAACACCTGAGACAATTCTTAAAAAAAAAAGTAGACTCTATGACTTTAACCCCTCATGCACTAACTGCAGTTCATAAGCAGGCTCTGGGCCAGGCCGTGCCAAGCGTGACGGCAGCTCTGCCTGTGGCAGCAGTGAGGACGGTGAGAGCAGCCTGTCGCCAGGCTGGGCTGGGTGCAGGCTCCCGGACTTACTGGTTTGGGGTCTTGGAAAGATTAGACTCAATTCCTGGTCAGTAAATGGAAACTATGTGGTATTCACTATAGAGAATGAGGCGTCAATGAGCAAACACCTACAAATCATACTCATTGACAATGTTAAGTACAAACCCACACTAAAAAAACCAGTCTATTATTTTCAAATTTTTGTAACAAACATATTCTTTTTATAGTCAGGAAAAGAAGTTGTCTATGGGAAGAGACGAAACCTCCGCTAGGGCATAAAGTGGTAGGAACTTACAGGACTCACGCATCAGAGGGAAGAAGTGAGCTAAGGAGGGGACTGCTCCTTCACTGTGTATATCTCCAATATGGTCATGTGCTTGTCAGTGAGAAGGAAGACAGACACAAAATAAACATCAACTTACTGGCTTCCTCAGGAAGAAGATAGACAAGGCTCCCACTAAGGGCATGTCTCCAATCAGCGGTTCCAGGATCACTCGCATTGTGCCATGAATCTAAGTGCAAACGGAAACCAAGACATGTAACAGCCAGTCACTGATGCAGGATGGAGACGCAGGTGGCCCAGTGCTGCACCAGGTAGGACCTGCAGAAAAATACTTAACTTCAAAGAAATTCTCAGTTAATAAAAGCTTCGCCACTTTCTTTTCAAAGAGAGCATGGAGAATTTTAGAAGACTGAAATAAAAAAAACCTTACCTGTATACTTTGCACACCAGCTCTACAAAAATATCTCTTGATCTCCAAATCAATCTCACAATTTCCTACAAAACTAGCAAAGAAAAAGTTCTGTATTACATTCTCCTCATCACCACAGACCTGCAAGGCATATAATCTGACTAAAATAATAAACAGTAAAGTGATCAGCACAGGCTGCAGGCACAGCTGCACCGTGGCGTGGCCGCTTCCCTGCCGGGCAGCAGACACACCGCTCCTGGGAGGCCTCCTGCAGACTAAGGGTTTGCTACAAATATCCCTTCCAACGTGCAGGCCAGAGCAGCACCTTGATGGAATGTAGTTTTCATTTGCTTTATAAACACCTATGTTTGTTTAAAACAATAAAGTGAAGATTATCTGCTCCCCAGTCCCGAGAGAACTAACAGAGCTCATGGACTTTGACGTGAAGATTAGAAACGTAGCCCTAGCCGGTTTGGCTCAGTGGACAGAGCGTCAGCCTGCAGACCAAAGGGTCCCAGGTTCGATTCCAGTCAAGGGCATGTACCTTGGTTGCAGGCTCCTCCCCAGCCTGGACCATAGTTGGGGCTCGTGCAGTGGGCAACCAATTGATGTGTTTCTCTAAACACATCAATGTTTCTCCCTGTCTTTCCCTCTCCCTTCCACTCTCCCTAAAAAAATCAATGGAAAATATCCTCGGGTGAGGATAAAAAGATTAGAAACATATAAAACCGTATCTGTTTGAGGCATCATTTTTTCTCACTGATTAAAACATTTCAGCCTGGACAGCGTGGCTCATTGGTTAAGTGTTGACCTATGAACCTCCAGGTCATGGGTTCGATTTCTGGTCAGAGCACATGCCCAGGTTGCAGGCTGGATCCCCAGTGAGGGGCATGCAGGAGGCAGCCAATCAATGTTTCTCTCTCATCATTGATGTATCTCTCTCTCTTTTTCTCTCCCTTCCTCTCTGAAATAAAAAAAATACTTTAAAAAAAAGACATTTCAGTCATTAATATGAAAAACATGAATGAGTGTGATGTGGAATGTAAGACTTGCATCTGTGTTTTTTGTTGTTGCTGTTTTTTCTTAGTCCTCACCTGAGGCTATTTTTCCCACTGACTTTTAAAGAGAGTGGAAGGGAGGGAGAGAGAGAAAGAGAGAGAGAAACATGGATGTGAAAAAGACAAATTGATTGGTTGCCTCCCACACATGCCCTGACCAGGGCTGGGGATCAAATCTGCAACCCAGGTACATGCCCTTGACTGGGAATCGAACCCGTGACCCTTCTGGCGCAGGCCAATGCTCTAACCACTGAACACACTGTCCAGGGCTTGCATTTGTTTTTAAAACAACCGTGAAATGGCAGCTACCTTTTGGGTGGAATCTGTATGAATTGACCCCCAACCCTGGGCTCCAGATGCAGGAGGTCTCGCCCTGCCTGAGAGCGTCTGCCGGAGGCCCGCTGAGCAGTGCACAGAGTGTCTAAGTGCCTGAGCACAACATCTGGGTCTTCATCAAGATTTCAGTCAAACCCACCGACATCAGGAATATCCACCTACGGGAATAGCTACGTGACACTGTATGCCATTAACTAGGACACAATTAGGACACAAATGAAAACTTACCTAATCTGAAGGTCCAAAATAATTTGTCTTTTGTCCACATTTTCAGTGTATACCTTGACACCATTGATCCTGAGGGGCTGGAGCGAGAAGTGGCTTATTTTCAATGCAGGGACGGTAAAAACACAAACAACAACACAACCACCAAATGGCAAAACAACCAGGCGGCACCGAGATGAGGAGACATGCTCTGGCACAGGCTATGGGAATCACAACTCTGCCCTCGTGGTGTACCAATCAGTTCGCTATCAGCGAGTTATTTCACCTGTTCCTCAAATGCAGACAAGGTTACCGTGAAACCACAGACATGAGGAATGTGGTCGCAGGTTCGAATACCTGTCCAGAGCACGTACCTGGGTTGTGGGTTCACTCCCCACCCCTGTCGGGGCGAGTTCGGGAGTTCTATATGTGTCTCTCTCATATAGAAGTTTCTCACCACCCCCCCTCCACTGTCTCTGAAAAACAATGGAAAAAATATCCTCAGGTGAGGATTAACAACACAAAACAATGTATATACCTTAATTCAAAAATACTTTTTGCTTAAGAACATGCTGTCATTGGTGCCGATGGACTTGCTTGACTTAGGGTTGACACAAACCTTCAATTTATAAAAAAAACTCACACTATCTGCAAAGTGCAATAAAGCAAAGAGCAATATAGTGATGTATGCCTGTAATATTATTCCAGTAACAACACCTATCTATCCCTTCACCTGTGTGACTAAGGTGATGCCTACAAGACTGGCACTGGAGTCTTTACTTGTTTTAAACAACTTGAGGGTAAATACCTCATGCCTGTTGTCAACTTCTGAACCTTCAGTGTGAGTTCACATGTCAAACTCCTTTCCAACAGAACGGATTGTTGAAAACTGTGCAAAGGTAATTCTGACAGAAGAGTGTGGGGAGAAAGACACGCTGGAACTAAGGGAAGTCCCCCCAGGGAACCTGAACTGGCCAAAAGGCCGCCTTGGACAGGTGAGGGCAGGTGAGGACCCCTGACAGACCAGGCGAGGGCACCACATGAGAGGCAGAACCTGGAGTAGCTGCACAACCCGCCCCAAGACCATCCAGGGAAATAACAGGGAGTAGTTTAACATGTCTTTTTAATTTCCACAGCAATCTGACTGTGCACACATGTAAGGATACTTAAGAAGAAACTGACCTGCTGACCCACGTCGACTCTCGTGAAACTAAAGGTGCTAAGGTGGGTGTTTGCTCCCCGCACAGCTGGCTCTATGGTTTCTCGAAACAACTTCTCTATAAATTGGCAAATGAAAGGCCACATATGTTTTACAGTCTGAAAGGAAAAAGAACTCATGTAAGACAAAACATTTTAATACACATTGCACTTAAGTCATGGTAAAAATTATGCCCCTTCAGCTTATCAGAATTTCTAAAAATTAAAGGAAGGGCCTTTTGATTATGCAAAAATCAATACAATTTTAAATTTTAAAATGTATCACAACAATAAACTACTAATTAACCATATATTGCAGGAATTAGTTATTCTCAGCACATTTAATGATTGCTTAAAAAATCAGAAAATCCTGTGGTTTCAACTCATTGCTAAATAAACTGCTAAAACTGTAGAGATTTTAATAAACATGAATGAGTTTTCCTCAGTGATGGACTACCTTCCCGTGCTACAAGGTGATCCCTGCCTGCACAGCTCTGAGGATATTACATAAAGTGTGAGGGGTGCCCTAGCCGGTTTGGCTCAGTAGATAGAGCATTGACCTGCAGACCAAAGGGTCTCAGGTTCAATGCTGGTTGGGGGCACATGCCTGGGTTGCAGCTCAGTCCAACCTGCAGGAGGCAGCCAATCAATAGTTCCCTCTCATCACTGATGTTTCTATCTCTCTCTTCCTCTCCCGTCCTCTCTGAAATAAATAAAAATATATTTTTAAAAAATGTGAGGGGATAGAGATCCACTTCAAACTAGACTGATCTAAAAACAGAAGCTTTATAAAAAAAATTAGATAATTATCTATTACTAGAATTCCTGGGAGTTATTCATTCTTCATAATAATGTTTCCAACATTTTTGTGTACGACTATCATAAAATAGACCTGAGCAGTGGATGGACGATGGGGAAAGAAGACAGAAGACCAAGATGCGACTATGAATAGCTTATTACTTTTCTCACGTCTAAGACCGTTTTCACTGTTTAGAAAAGGAAAGTAACGTCTCATTTATGACTGAGCTCTTTTGGGAGCAGAAGCCAAATCCAAAGGAGTTCACACAGTGTCACTCTCCCAACTCCCAAATATGGAGGGTGCATCCCATCCCAGTCCCACTGCAGCTGGTATGGGATACTGCTCTCTTACCTTATTTAGCCATTCTGCTCTTTCAGTGTCTGGGAAGTGAACCTAAGAGGAAAGCACAGGGATGTGACTGACTCGTCACGTAGGCCACGGATGTTCTCCTTGTAGGCCTGCTGTTTACACAAAGCCTCTTTAAACACCCTGCCCTGAAGCCTGGAAAATGGCCTAGGAGGAGACACTGGCCGTGGGGCACTCTGATTTATATTCTAAGAACAGCCTGAAGCAGAAGCGTGGAATGTCAGCAAATGCCCCAGGCCCTCCCCACAGCCTTGCTGTCCAGAGGAATGTGCGTGGGTACCTGGACCATCCCAACAAGCATTTCAAATGGAGCCCTTTCTACAGGATCGCTTTCCCATGGGGCTCAGCACTGTCCCGTGTTCCAGAGACCTAGACCAAAGCCTTCAAAACCCCACCTTCCTTCTGCCTTCCTTTGGTCCAACCCAGCCACAGGCATGCTGCTGTTGCCCACGTCTCACTCCCTTTGGCCCCAGGCTGGGACGGGGAACCGGGGGTGGGTGGCGGTGGATGTGGCCCCTTTGGGGGGGAGGGCAGAGGGCGGCTCCCTCCTCAGGGCCGGTGGCCAACCTCCCACACCCCATCCCTCCCCTTGGGAAGCAGGCCCAGATCCGCCTAGCCCTGATTGGCCCTGATTGCCAGCCAGGCCTAGGGACCACACCCATGCACGAATTCGTGCACCGGGCCTCTAGTATTACTATAATTACTGTTTGGGCGCTACTGTAAAAGTCAACCCAAGTCTACAACCTCAGCACAGTGACGGGGTAGTTTGTGGCACTGTCACTGCACACTAAACATTATCACAGGGAGATACTGTTTGACCACCTCTGCCACAGGTACAAAGAACAGGGCCACTGGACAAGAGGGCCCAAAAGGCAGTCCATGACATCAGTTCCGGAAAACATAAACTGCTACTCTACTTCATAAAGAAATATCCCAAATGTCAAGAGTCCTTTGATAGAATTACAGAAAGATGAGTTTAATCTGCCATGAAAGCCTTCCTTTTACCTGTTTTCAGATCCTTTTCTTCTCTGAAAATCCTATCCTATATAATAAAGAGCTAATATGCAAATGGTCATCATGCCCTCACGCCATCACGGCTCAGACACTCAACACTGGAGAGAGAGGAATGGGGACCAGCCACCTGCGGCCGGGAGAGGGACAAGCCGCCCGCCCTGTGGTCCCGGACACCAGCGGCTGCGTCTACACCTGCGGCCTGGGAGAGGGACAAGCCACCCGCCCTGTGGTCCTGGGCGCCAGCAGCTGCATCTGCACCTGCGGCCTGGGAGAGGGACAAGCCGCCCGCCCTGTGGTCCCGGACACCAGCGGCTGCGTCTACACCTGCGGCCTGGGAGAGGGACAAGCCACCCGCCCTGTGGTCCTGGGCGCCAGCAGCTGCATCTGCACCTGCGGCCTGGGAGAGGGACAAGCCGCCCGCCCTGTGGTCCCGAGTGCCAGTGGCTGTGCCTGTGCCTGTGGCCTGGGAGAGGAACAAGCCGCTCACCCCACGGTCCTGGGTACCTGTGCCTGCAGCCTGGGTGAAGCCACGGTCCCCTGTGGCAGCAGCCAGCCTGGGCCCTGAGTGCCTGTGGCCAGCCAGAGGGAGGGAAGCCTGGGTCCTGGGTGCCTGTTTCTGCGCCCCGTGGTCCTGGGCAGGTGCAGCCAGCTAGCCCACGGTCCCCTGCAGCTGCAGCCAGCCCGGGTGAAGCCGTCCCAGGTCCTGGGTGCCTGCGGCCAGCCAGAGGGAGGGAATCCTGGGTTCTGGGTGTGGGGCGAGGCAGAGGCGGTTAGGGGCAATCAGGCCAGCAGGGGAGCAGTTAGGGGCGATCAGGCAGGCAGGCAGAGATGGTTAGGGGTGATCGGGCCAGCAGGGGAGCAAGCAGAGGTGGTTAGGGGCGATCAGGGAGGCAGGCAGGCAAGCGGTTAGGAGCCCAGCGGTCCTGATTGTGAGAGGCAGTCAAACATCCCCCGAGGGGTCCAGGATTGGAGAGGGTGCAGGCTGGGCTGAGGGACGCCCCCCGGCCCAGGCACAAATTTCGTGCACCAGGCCTTTAGTACTATTAAATAACAGAATATGTCCATGTCTACCTTATCCCCAATAAACAACTGAAAAACCATGTGAAAACAATGGCTGTTCCTCAGTCTGCAGCTCAGCGGAAGCAGACACCAGAGGCCTCTCAGGCCATACCAGCATCTCTGCGATGGACAGCCCTGTGCCCAGTGCCCAAGCGTCAGGACAGTCTCCGGTGAGCAGGGGTAAGTGGTCGGCTCCTCTCTGCTAACTGGTAGGAACAGCTATGAATCCTACAAGCCTCAGGGAGACCCAGCTTCTCTGCACTTTCTGTGCACAAGGATTTCCTTCCTCCTTCTCTAGAGGGCCAAGCATGTTTAGAGTGGCTTTCATTTTTTTAAAAAAGATTTCGTGTGTGTGTGTGTGTGTGTGTGTGTGTGTGTGTTTAAATATATTTTTACTGACTTCAGAGAGGAAGGGAGAGGAAGAGATAAAAAACATCAACGATGAGAGAACCATTGATCGGCTGCCTCCTACAGGCCCCATACGTGTGTGTTTTTTTAAATGTTATGATCAGGAAGCATTTTATTGTTCCTCCAAGGTTAAGAGTTTTCACTGACAGAAAATCAAAACTTTCAGAAAACCACCTGCATAACCTTGTTCAGCTGCTGAAGTTTGGTTTTTTCAGACACATCAACATATTTCTCTCCAGTACGAACAATCACTCCACCCATGATTGACGGATCAATCTTAACTTCCAATTTCAGTATTTGGCTTTTGCTTAGGAAGCTCTACAGGACCATTTTTAATTCAGAACAAGGCTTCTTCCTCCCGGGGACACTCGTCGCATTAAAAAGGGGTACCGTTTTCAGCCAGCAAACTGATCAGGTTGGACGGGAGGGTGCGATCATGTCATTCAGGCTTTTCACTGTAGTGGAACGCTTTATACAGAGATTTGTGCTGGACAGCCATTCTGGGTTCCTTCAAGATTTGTGCTGCTCTCAACAATTCCTTTCCTACTTGCTCTAGTTTATTCTGTTGGATGCAGTAGAAGAAAGAGCAGTGAGTGCCCTAGTGCCCTTTGATAGCACACGACTGAACAGGTGGTCTCACAAGTCTGGCAAACGGCTGACCACAGATGTGCTGAAGCATCACACCTGCTGGGGGAGCCCAGACACTGCCAGGGGAGCCTGGACACTGCTGGGGAGGGGGACTGGACACTGTCAGGGGAGCCTGGACACGCTGGGGGGTCATCTCCTTAGGCAGTGTCAGTCATACCCTACTGGAAGAGCAGCCTTAGTTTCTCTGAAGAACTGGTTCTTGTTCACTCTGAAAGCCCATAACCGGTATGCTAAGTGCTGTGCCTCACACAGAGAAAGCTTTGGCTGACCCAGATTTTCTACCCACTTCAAATCCAAGCAAGGCTCATAGACTGGGTCTTGTCTGGGAACCCACATGCAGAAACTGTGTGTGCAAACCAGCTTAGAGACCAAACCATTAGATTGTCAACAGGGTACAGGAACCATGAAGGTTAAAGTCATGGCATCAGGTGGTCAGTAAGGCTGAGCTCTTCAAAGCCTCTCCAGTAAAAGGGGCAGAAGAAGACGTGGGAAGGCTGACACTGAAGACCTGTTCCTTGCACGGCCAGAGACCAGCTTCCTGGAAGACCAGCGAGGGCATTCTTGTTCACTCTGAAAGCCCATAACCGGTATGCTAAGTGCTGTGCCTCACACAGAGAAAGCTTTGGCTGACCCAGATTTTCTACCCACTTCAAATCCAAGCAAGGCTCATAGACTGGGTCTTGTCTGGGAACCCACATGCAGAAACTGTGTGTGCAAACCAGCTTAGAGACCAAACCATTAGATTGTCAACAGGGTACAGGAACCATGAAGGTTAAAGTCATGGCATCAGGTGGTCAGTAAGGCTGAGCTCTTCAAAGCCTCTCCAGTAAAAGGGGCAGAAGAAGACGTGGGAAGGCTGACACTGAAGACCTGTTCCTTGCACGGCCAGAGACCAGCTTCCTGGAAGACCAGCGAGGGCAACGAGTCTTCACACCCAACTGCACTGTGTGAAATACTAAAAGTAGTGACCATTTTCTGAGTGTACCGCAGGCATGTGCAGGTTCTGTCGCATCCATTATCTGAGCTCACTCATTCTCACAATGTACACATAGGAACTAACAGTATCCACAATTCACAGGATACCTGCTCAGTGACAGAATGGGGATGAAGGCCAGCCTTGTGTGCCGGTGCTCTCGGCCACTTTGTTACTGAGCCCGCGGCAAGGCTGTGGAGACAGACAGTCTACAGAGCCCACCACGTTCTCACAGGGACACGCCAATCAAAGAGCGAAGCCTGAAACTCAGATGACATGCCTTAAATTGTACAAGGTTCTGGTGACAGCCAGAAGTAGGAAATTTTGTGTTTAATAGTGATCTATTTATCTAGACTCTAGAGGTTAAATATAGTACAAGTCCTGAAATAGCTGAAAAAGCCCAGCAAACATAATAGCAATTCACATTAAACCACTGTTATCAGACCCAATATTTCATCCAAGACTAAGAGAAGGATGTAAAGACTGGTTTTACTTAATATTCCCACTCCTTCACATGAAAGAGCTGTGATAACTAAATAGTAATAGCAAAATTCCATATGCATTCACCCTGGGACCCAGCAATCCCATTTCTAAGAATTTATCCTAGAAACAGACTGGCAAAAATATGAAATGACGTGTGTGCAGCGCCATTTGTAATAGCAAAGGCCAGAATGACCAAGCAGCCACCAACAGTGGACGGGTTGAACAAGCTGTTATGCGCACACATGACAAAGTACTGCCAGCATCAAAAGGAATGAGGAAGGCTTCCATCATCATACTTTCAGGATTATGTGGATAACGCTATGGGATAATTTCCAGGGCCTGTTTTAAAGTGAAAATACAAGATGGAGAAAACCATATACAATTGGCTATACCATTCATCTCACAAGAGGGGAAGAGGGTGTGTGTGTGTGTGTGTGTGTGTGTGTGTGTGTGTATTAATACACTAGCATGCTTGTAATTTTTTAAAATAAAAAATTAACAAAAACTTTAAAAAACTGTTTACCTTGGGGAGGGAGAGGACATGGTAGAAGAGACAAGTATGTAAGTTAGGGAATGGAACCTAGTCGACCTTCAACTCACATAAGTTAAAGCGCCAAAGAAAGAGCATATGGAAATTGAAGAAAGTAAATCTGTTACCAAATCTTAATTCTGTTCAACTATGTTTAAAATCGGCTTCTCGCTACTATATATGCACAAACATCAGCTTACGTTCCACAAAACAGAATTTAAAACAGTAAAAACATCACAAAGACTGGGATATACAGGAGAAATAGAAAATGTTTCTAAGTCATATAGGAATGCATGAACACTTATCACTTAGTTTCAAATATTAATCTTTCAACTAAAAAAAGAAACAAAACCCCCCACTAAATCTCCCTTGTAAGTCCACTTATAAAACAAGTTTTCATATTTATTTATATTGGCTCCACAAAGTAGAAGTAATCAGTTTGATTGTTCAAGTTTTGATTATATTTAAGAGTTGACACTACCCAAGAAATCTTTCAAATCTTATCTTTAAGAAGAACAAAGGCATATTTGGGATTCTAATATGTTGATATTACCAAAGTTCTTTTGCTTAGAAAAAAATTAATTAAATATGCAAAGACAGAACATTAACTGTATGCCAGGAACTCTACATGCAATATCTTGTTTCATCCTCACAACAACCCTCTGAACAATTAGCGGCTCATCTAATAGATCAGGAAATAAATCTGTTCAGTCACAGGGGAAATAAGTGGACCAGACCCAGAGGCCCTAAGGCCCCCTGTTAAACCATGCTGAGGTAAAAGGATGAGACAAACTTACACCTAAGTCATATTTTCTGATGAAATCATGTTTCCCATTTCTCAACATTAAAAAATAATATGGGGTAACATTTAAAATTAAATAAAGGAACTGTCTTTTTTCACACAGCACCCCCCTGAAAAAGATGTCAACAGCACTTGTGTGGACTTAACTGAGCACCTCCAGCTACAGGCAGGACAGCAGGTCTGTCACGGGGCGTGGGCATCCTTTAAAAATCTCCCTGCAGCATAAATTGTGCTGTCCATGCATTCCTTCATTAACAAAATCTAGAACAAGGCAATCCATGTCTGAGAAAATATGAAGATACATTATCTCTTACACCTGAAGCATTAACGATTTAATACTTTTAAAAGAAAAATGGATAAAATGATCACTTTAGAAACCAAATGTCATTAAACCTCACATAATAAACTGGTCTATCAATATCAAGTTCATTTATTCGTATTCTTCCTTGTTCCAAGAAGGAGTTGAGCTCTGCTCACGTCTGCATGGGTCTTTAGGTGCTCATCCAAGAAAAATAAACAAAGAGCTGGTTTTGCTCAGAGGTTAGAGCAGGGGTGGGCAAACTTTTTGACTCGAGGGCCACAATGGGTTCTTAAACTGGACCGGAGGGCCGGAACAAAAGCATGGATGGAGTGTTTGTGTGAACTAATATAAATTCAAAGTAAACATCATTACATAAAAGGGTACGGTCTTTTTTTTTTTTTTTTTTAGTTTTATTCATTTCAAACGGGCCGGATCCGGCCCGTGGGCCGTAGTTTGCCCACAGCTGGGTTAGAGTGTTGGCCCAAGGACTGAAGGGTCTCGGGTTCCATCCCATCGAGGGCACAAACCTCCGTTACAGGCTTGGTCCCTGGTGCCGGTGCACATGCCTGAAGGGGCATGTGCGGAAGGCAGCCAATTGATGTGTCTCTCTCACATCTATATTTCTCGCTGTCTCTCCCCTTCCCTTCCACTCTCTCTAAAAATCAATGTTAGAAATATCCTCAGGTGAGGATTAACCAAAAAAACAAACGAACACCAACTTCTTAGTGAACAATGATCAGCTCCCTGAGGAAGAATTCTTTCACTATCCTGGGGAGAAGGAAAGAGGAATTCAATTCACCTGGTACAGCAATTTTAAGTGTGTCTTCTGAGGCTGGGGATAGGGTCCCAACTAGCACAGTCCCACCTGTCAGCTGGGCCTGAGGCCCTCCAGGTTCAGGGGCCCTGCCTCACCAGCCACCCAGAACACCTGAGGGGAATTGTCCCCTCATCATCAATCCCAAAACACCAACCTTCCTACACCACAAAATGAGTTATACACAGGTCAACAACTGACTTATGGAGCAGGATGAGCTGCCACTGCTCACTGCTCCCCTGGTTGCAAGTCTCATGGTCCCTCAGAGTTTAGGACATGCATCCTAAAGATGGGGGAAGAAGCAGGGGAAGGGAATGGCATGGGCGTGTTCCCCAGAAGGAGAGCACGTGCTGGGTCCTTTGGAGGGTTTTTCTCTCTCTTGCAGACGGGGATCTTAGGGGAGGTTTCGGGGAGTGTTGCAGCAGAAGATTCATCAGTTTTCCAGGGGTGCTCTTTCAGGGTCGTGGTCTCTACTGATTGGTCAGGGCCAGGGCAGGGCCTCGTTAGGCACTGCAGCTGGTCCTGGTGTTGCCCACCTGATTCTGCTGCTTTTCTGGGCCTGGAACTGAAATACCACTGAGGCCTAGATGTTATCTCTCGGGAGGTGACCTCTGTACCTGCTGCCATTGCTGGGCCAGTGTGTTCAGCTGCCTGTCTGTCTCCCCATGCCTCTTGTCCTGGCTCACGGGCTGCCTCAGATCAATGAGACACCGACAGCTCTCCACACGGTGCTTCCCATGCACACAGACACAGGGAGCATTAGGTGTGTGGCCTGCTGAGATAAGCTGGAGGGGACCTGGAGAAACTCATTACAATTTCTTCATATTGTGTAATTATGTGTATTAAATAATGACATTGGCCAAAACCCTCAAATAAAAGGATTTTTTAAAATTTTAACTCTAAGCCATTGGCACTGTGCATGCTACCTCTTTGTGGCACACAGGGGAGAGCTCTGAGCATTCCCACAGGTTCGCTGTTACAGAGTATCAGGAGAAAAGGACTCAAATGTAAATTGGTACCAACATAAATTTGTGCCCTCTGACCTTTTTATACTTAAACTTCTTTACCCATTTCCCACAGGAGTAATGTAAGCCATCCCTCTCTTTCCTCAAAATCCCCAGTCCCAGTCTGCCCCTCTCGTCTCTTCCACAGCTTCAGGGTACAAGGAACGTGGAAAAACAGTCAAGAAATCTCAATACCGTGTTTTTCCCTAAGATACTGGGATGCTTTCTCCTAACAGCTACTTCTATAAAGAAGAAAGTATTCAAGGTTTAAAGGGTGGGAGACAATGTCTCTCTCAGAACCTGTCAATCCTGGAATAAAATGTTAACAGATGGTCAAATTACTGCTTTGTATGGCAAAAAGAAATTACACAAAATAACTAGGTGTCTCTATTTCAAGTCTACATAAAAGTAGACAATCAATTCAAAGAGTAAATAAAGCAATTAATCTTTTTCAAAATCCAGTTATCATTTTCTCAATGGTTTGTGACAGCCTCACCAGAACTCTGATTGCTCTGTACCTGTGAGGACACAGCACCAACAATGGAAACAAAGACATTGAATACAGTGCCAGTGCTGCAAATCCGTCTGTGTAAAGGGTTTTCCTACCAGCAACACTTTCGAAACTCCTAGGTGCTTTTTATGTGAGAAAAAAACAAGAAATTGCACTAGGGAGTCTGAAGAAGCACTAACATCCCTGCAGTCTTATCTGAGACCACAGGTAGTAACCACGATCCCTCCCCTTTATATACTGACCACAAAGCTCCCAGTTAGGGTACATGTGATGCTTTCTTCTGTCATCTCAAACTAACAGTTCAAAATCAGAACTGGCTGCTGACAAAGGAGAGCTGGCTGAGAGCCGTGCTGAGCCACAGATGCCAGCCACGGACTCGAGGCTCTTTCTGGCTCAGGGTGGCAGGAGTGGCAGGGGGGAGCATTTAGGTACTGCTTCTGACAAACGCTTGTTTGAAGTATGTTCAACTTAAATAATTCACTACTGTCTCTTTGTTATATGATGACCCCACCTATTTTTGTAAATTGGGAAAGAGTAAAATGAAAATTTAAAACTAGGGCGTATTTATTCCAGCATATCTCCCATAAGTAACAAAGCTGTCTGAATGATCTGACAAGCAATTATTTCTAGTTCTCTAAAGGAATGGACACTTCTAAGGAATTCTATGGAGGCCTTCTATAATTTCAGATAATGTATCTGCTATGTTAGATGTACTCTATGTTAGATGGATGGGTGTCCATTTGTTTTTGAAGGGTGGTTCAAGTTTCAGTGTATGTGTGGAAGGAGCTTAAGCCAGGACTAACATTCAATATGTCCCCCGTAAACACAGGGACACATCCTAACTTTACCCGACAGAACCATCAACATCCCTTTATCACAATACTAAGGTGAAGAGACTTACTTACTACCTTACTAAAGATGCACGTCTACAGATATTTTTCTAAGACTGGAAGCATATTTTTTAAATTCTAAAGTCATTTAGACATTCTGTAACTGCTAAAAGAAAGAAAATTCATAAAATTATTTGACAGTCTTGATTTAAAGGTGAGGTTCTGGCATGAGTTCCATCGATCTCACAAATTAAAATGAGTCCAAGAATAGGAAACATGTCTTCTCATCTCCTTTACTGAAACACGTAAGACAATCTGGTCATTTGTCATTTTAAATCCAAATCAAATGCTACTATTCAAATTTCCATACTTATGTTTTAACTGGAACGAACTAGAATAGTGATTTTCAACCTTTTTCATCTCATGATATACATAAGCAAATGACTAAAATTCTGTGGCATGCTGAAAAGCATACTTTTTGCCAGTCTGACAAAAAAAAATAGGTATCATTTTGATTGATTTACAAAATAATAATAATAATAATTACCTACTCTTTTGGCTCCAAAAAAAAAAAAAAAGTCAGGTGCCTACACTTGTATAAGGATTTCTGGGACCAAGAATTAACCAATTAGATGCAACCTTATTATGTGATGTGACCAATAAGATGCAACACTATTATATGACTTTCATATTTATGGTTCAAGACAGGGCATTCACACCAGACAGTTATTGTTGTGTTGACTGTTGTAATTTTTTAATTTGACAATCTCAGGGAAAAGAGGTCAGTGCCCTTTTGGTAAGGTATGCATTTTAAAATTCCTGGAGCACATTGGTTGAAAATTGCGGGAATACAAAACAGATGTGTAATTGTAGTATTGAAGTAATTACACATATTCTGTATATTGTGTGAAATTAATCCAGCTTTGTTCTACTATAATGAATAGAAACTACGTATATGAGACTGAAGTCGGGGTTAAAATCCTCTAGAATTACAGAACCAACGGGAATACCAAACACCTACATGGATTCAGAAGTCACATGTTTCAAATTTTACAGTGAAATTTTTCATTTTTAAGAAATCAGTTTTAGAGAAACCAAGATGGCGGCATAGGTAAACACCGGAGATTGCTGCCTCGCACAACCACTTCAAAAATACAACTAAAAGATGGAATGGACATCACCCAGAACCACAGGAAGGCTGGCTGAGTGGAAATTCCACAACTAGAAGGAAAGAGAAAAGCATACC